AAGCCGCAACCGCCGCCTTACTCCTTAATATCCGCCTAACGAGACTGCATTTGCAGGCTCGCTTTCCGTCCTAGCGGCCGTCCCGCCTGCAATCCGCGCGACGCGCTTATTGGGAGCTAAAGCGTCAGCTTTATCGCGTAAGCAACGCGGACTTTTGCCAGTCCCGGAGAAGCGATCCGTCGACGAAGAGAATTCGCGTCCGCGTCTTATGAAGCGAGTTCCTTCGATCCGACGAATTTATTTTCTTCGCCAAAGATGAAACATTTGCGACGATTGAAACGAATACAGATTGCTTTCCCACCGCGATTTTAGACTCGCGGTTTTCACTCGCAAATTTTACCTTGCCATCTCACTCGCGAGCAGCGTGTCAAAGGGTCAGTGAGACGCCTCTGGCTGTTTCATGCGCTGCGTTGGATTGCGAGAGAGGAGAGCCTTAATTAATTACTTCGCTTGAGACTCCGCACGGGCAGAATATTAGCTTGAAATTAAGAATCAGACAGTTTGCGGGAAATGCAGAGAGAGAGAGAGAGAGAGAGAGAGAAAGAGAGAGAAAGAGACTGATGGAGACATCCAATATATGATTACAAAGCCTCGGTTATTAAGTACGCCGTACGTACCGCGGAGAGACAAGCGAGCGCATAGGGGCCAGATGAAGCTACGAGCTATTCGCGGAAAATACGTCAATTCCCACGCAGTCATTATTATTATTTTATCCCCCTCGATCGGAGCTTCGGCATGAACGTGCCTGGACATCCGATAATTTCACACAATCGCACGACGATTCCTCTCGCGAAGCACACCGGCGCGGCGCGGCGCGGCGCGGCGTGGGACGCATTACGTGGAAGCCATTAAAACCGCACGACGAACGCACTCAACCGCTGCGGTAATAAAACGAAGGCACGTACGTGCGGGCGAACGAACGAACGAACGAACGAACGAACGAACGAACGAACGAACGAACGAACGAACGAACGAACGAACGAACGAACGAACGAACGAACGAACGAACGAACGAACGAGCGAACGAGCGAGCGAGCGAGCGAACGAACGAACGATCGATCGATCGAAGGAGAGAAGAACCGTGGCTCGCGCGCACCGAAAGTGGGACAGTGAAACGGCACGCGGGGCCCGGACCCACGCATCTCACGGCGAATCTGGGGCCGCTTCTCGTGGGTCCAGCCCGCGGGCGAGTGTGTGACACATCTCGGAGTCATCTCACGTGTCCGCATTGTAGTTCACTCGGCCAGCCCGCCAGCCAGCCAAGCAGGCAGGCAGCGGCCGTCAAGGCTCGGGAAGAAGCCGCGGAACAAGAACAGAAGCAACACTGACCTTCCTCATACACGTGTTCGCATAAAATATTACGATCCTCTGTGCGGTCACGTTCGCGACGATAATTCGCGGACTCGCGTCGCGACGGCGTCGCGTTTCTCCAACCGTCTGCCTCGCGCGAGTCTCCTCGAGTCGGCTAATTTAAATCGCCGCTGAAACGCCGCATCGCGCACCTCTAATCGATTTCTCCTTCGCCGAGAGCAATCTTCGAGGGTATATTCGAGCGTCTCTGGTTATCGCTCGTTGCTGCTCCTGCGAATTGCTGAATTCTGTCTTTTTTCCCCCCCCTGCCGAATTCCGTTGCTGAATATTTTCGCTGAATTCTATCGCTGAATCCCGTCGCCGGGTTCTATCGTTGAATTCCGCTGCTGAATTTTATGGCTTAATTCCAAAGTTGAAAATTGGGTTTTGTTGTTGCTGAATTCCAGATTAGATCCCGCCTGCCACGATAAAAAAGTATCCCCATCGCTCTTCCCTCACTCCTGCTTCTCTCTCCGACCTTTTTTTACATTCTCTACTTTGTGCCCGCTCGGGATTCGAAAATTCCACACAGGGGTTGCAAGGTTAGACGACAATTCCCGCGATTTCGGCCGAGATTAGGTGGACTGCATTATTCAGAGCTCAGGCTGGCGAGACGCTCGTGTATATTTATAAGCGGGCTCCCGCTTGCGCGACGACGAGCTTCACGACGCGAAACCTCCTCTCTCCTTCTCTCTCGCGCCTCCGGAATATCCGTTTCGATCGAGGGCGCCTCCGAAAGCGTAGGGTCGGTCCGCGAGCGACCTTAAATCGCCGGCCGGCGAATAATGACAGGAGCGAGTTTCTCCGCGCGACACGTCCACCGATCTGCCTCTCACGCGAGCGTTACTTTACGCGCGCGCGATAAAGTATCCAAATCGCTAAGATAAAGTAGTACCGCCTTTGAAAGCCGCCTCCCCGAGGATTTCTCCATCACCCCGAAATCTCGTAGCGTCGAGATTTTCACAGGCAAAAGCCCATATTTACAAGTCTCTAAACAACCTAAATGGCCGGAGCGCGCCGGCGCGGGCGGCCGACGAGGCGAGAGTTCATAATTTCGGCTCTTTCGAAGCCTCAGCAAGCATACTTAACGCGACGCATAACGCGGCCGTCGACCAGCAGCGGTGCATCGTATCTCACGCGTTATAATCCTCGAATTCTCGGCGACACATTTTTTCCCGTCTCTTTGGCCGCGTTCATCGCCGGGCATTAGCGAATCATTCGAAAAGCCCTCTCACCGTCGCGCGGAGTAGCGCGCGTTGACCCCTTTAACGAGCTGACAGGGTCGGACACTTTTACGTCGCTGTAAATTCAGCTCGTTACAGCTGTATCGCCTCGTCCGAGAGTTCCCCGGCTTCATCTCGAGGCCGAGCCGTTTCGGGCGGCGCGCGACGTGCCGCGTTTTCGCGGACAATGAGCGAGTAGGATTCGTGATGCGCCGATGTATCCTCCTTCGTGGAGTCTCTCGCGGCCACGGCGAGCTCTTAATGATCCCCGTAGAACATGCTTCGGTACATAGAGAAAGAGAGAGAGAGAGAGAGAGAGAGAGAGAGGGGAGGGTGGGGAAAGAGAGAGAAAGATTACGGCGTGCGTTCTCCGACGTTTTACAGTACGGACGAATTTCCGAAGCGAAGCGAAACGAGCAACGCCCATTATCTGCACGATAGGGTCGTCGGCGGGACGTTATTGTAGCATGAGAAAACCGCGAGGAAGAATCCTTGAGCATAAGTATAAGGACGAGGAAGGAGGAGCGGAGTCCGTCCGAGTGTACGAGCGGGTTAAAGGAAGACCGCGAGACCGTAACTTGACGCTGAAAATTATCGTTCATTTATCCGAAATTTTTTACCGGGTCGGTTTACACGAGAGAGGAACCGGAGAGGAGTAATTGGGTCCATTACAGCTATTACATTCGCATAATCAAGAAGAAGCGCGCGCGGACATTGAAGAGATGTGTTATTGGAGACTTAAGCCGCGTCGAGACGGGGGAAGAATCGAATCAGGTTTGAAGCAAGCGGATCAGGTGTCTCGGAAAATTCGATCGAGTGTCTCGGCCGATTAGACCCAGAGATTTTTACGTCGAAATTGTCGCAGCGAGAGCTAAAAATATATGACGCGTTACCAGCTGATGACAGATTTCGTAGACGACACGGGAACGCCAAATCAGGAAACGCGTTGAGAAGAGGCGTTAAGAAGCGCCGTGTTTTAGCGGAAATTGAAACTGCAGCATGCCGAAAATGAGAACCAAGTGTTTCGAAATCTCAAGTTAGACGTCTCGATATAGCGAGAGGATTGCGACAGACCGAGAGAAGCGCGACGTACCGTCCGCGTTTTCGGCCGCACTCGACTTGAATCCTGCTCGACTCTGCTTCTTGCAATCGCGACGGCCGATTATTGGCGGAACACATGGCTCGTTGGACACATGGGGCCGTGAGCGGCTAACGGTACCGGGCCCTCTCGTATCCCAAACCCGCTGCCGTGAGGACCGCGCGACCCTGAGAGAGGTACACCGTTACTCAAAGAGGTCCCGCGCGAGAATTTCTTTCGCGGCGTCGCGTCGCACGCTCGGCGATTATAATTGAGCGCTTAATTACGCGCGCTCATACGCTCGCTCCGCAGCACAGACAGACGGCCGGAGGGGGGCATGGGGGGGGGGAAGCTCAGGAGGAGATGCGGTCGGTCTCCTTCCGGTTTTCACCGTGGCCGCTCGCGTACGTACGCTGACGCGAGCCGCCCGCGCTCGCATTAATCCGCGGAAGAGTTCCCGGCGAGTTAGCGCCGCCGGTGAACGATGCCGGAACGAGCCGGAAGCCGAGACGGGTAATCGCGCTCCTGTTGCTGCTCGCCGTGTCATTGTTCCACATGCGGTCAATTAGCATTTTAGAAACCAGACTGCGTTGTTCACACTCTGTTAAGAAGAAACCACGCCTCCTCCTCGATACGGTAATCGTAATTCACCGTTGCGTAACCGCGCGCGTAATTATCTCGCGCGGAAATTAATCCGATTCCTCGCGTCTGACGAGTGAACCTCGGGGAACGTCAGACGCCGATATTTGTTTCCAATTTTTTATAGTTACTTTTTATGCCAAAATGTGAAGAAATCTGTTATCATTTTTAGCTTAAATTAATTCCTTCAATTTTTTCGAAATTTTTGAACTTTCGCACAAGTACACCGTTTTACACATATTTGAAACAAAATTTCTTAAAAAATATATATATATATATCTGATTTGTTGAAACTTGCACACACATGTCGCCGATTATGTATCAGAACCATTTTGTAAAATTCAAAATGGCGGATCTAACATGGCTGACGTCATTGTTGAGAAAATGTTCAATTTTACGTTCTACATTCGACGTTGGGTAATAATCTTTCGGCTCACTATCCAGCAAACGAGCTCGTTTTAACGTCAAAATCTGGTAAAAAATGAACAAGAAGCGAACAAAAAGCTCGAGAAATTTCGAAAATATTGAAAAAATTAATTTAAGCTAAAAATGATAACAGATTTGGCCAGATCTGCGCGAAAGTGGCGAAAGATTGCCGGCTACTGGACGTCTCATCTTCGATGAAACGTTAGATAAACTAATTAAAGGCAAATTAAGCAACTGATAGTCGGCCAAAGCAGCTAATTGTTCGCGATAATTTCCGTTCGCAGACGCACCGGCCGTGGAGCAGCGCCAAGGACGCGTGTCCTTGCACGTGGAGATGCCGTCGAAGGCCAAGCGCGAGCAGGCGTTGCGCAACATCCTGGCCAGGAGGCGGCAGATCCTGAGCCAACGTTCGCATGAGCCGCCTCGGCTCTTCCCGAGTCGCACGGCGCGGCCGAGCGACGCCGTCTCGAAGGATCTCCCGGACATCCTGGAGACCCAAGAGACCCGGCACGGCGTCTACGTGAGCAGTGCGCGAACGGAAGCGTCGGTGGACGAGGAGACTCTCCAGTCGCCGAAGAAGCCGATCGAAAAGACCGCGATCGAGTCGGAAGCGGAAGAAGCCCCTCGGAAGGCGCTCGGGAACGACAGCAGCTCGTCGTCGTCGCCGATGACCACCGAGAGTCATGAGCTCGTCTCCCTGACGAGCACGTCCGTCGGCCAGAAGTCAAACGAGCCGGACGCGCGACGGAAGAACACCGTGGCGATGTCGGAGTCGCTGTACAAACACTTCCGCCCGGTGGAGAGCAACATCCCGGTCGAGGACATGTCGCAGTTCCTGTACTTCGGCCAAAAGCTGCAGCCGGACGCTGCGCAGAACGGCAGCAGCATCGGCTCCGGCAACACCTCCAGCCCCAACTCCGTGGAGACGACGTCGACGGTCGCGAGCTCGCGCAGGAGGTACTCTGCGAAGAGACCAGGCGCCACGCAGATGGCGGCCGGTCCGGTGGAGGAGATCGTGAACGAGGAGATGAACATCGCGCTGGAGCGCCGCACAGTCGAGAAGAATCAAGTGTCCAGGATCAAGAACTCCTACAGGAGCTCAGGTAGCGGACTGTACTTCCGGAAAGCGAGGCCCGCGGACGTGGGGTCCAACGTGATTCCGGGCAACGTCCTGTCGAGTCCTGCGCTCGGCGGCTCGGACGCCAAGAGCGAGATCAACACGGTGGACGAGAAGCTGCGCGCCGACCCGTCCGCTCACGCGGACCGGGCCACGCGGGAGAGAGGAAGCGAAGCCCACGTGGCTGAGCCGAGCATGACGACCCAGATTCCACGGCAACGTCAGCGGCAGCTTTCGGCCGCGGACGGTAACGTGGACGACGGCGACGCGAAGAGCGAGCTGAAGACGGACGAGACGGCTCGCGCGGACACTTCGCGCGGAGTCGCCGAGGGCGGTCGGAAGAGAACGAGTGACCTTGGCGGGAACGTCGCAGAATTCAAGACCGAAAAACAGAGGGAAGCTGAAGAAGAAACAGTCGACGGAGCGAAGACGGGGCCGACAACCGCGGAGAAGCCGCCGGAACAGAAGACGGCGACTGGTGACCTCGAAGTGACCACCTCATCAGCACCAGAAGCCAGCTCGAGGTCTCGCGACAACAACAGCAACATCATCGAGACGTCGCCGGCGACGCGCGACGCCGACACGAAGACGAGCCCGTCGCAGCGCGCCGAGTCGTCGACGCTGCGGATCGTCGTGCCGGACGAGAGCTTCGGGCGCAGTTTCGCGATCGAGAGCGAGCGGGCTCGTCAAGGTACCGTTAAGCAACCGGTCGATCCCGCGGCGGATCGACCGGTTCGCGTGTCGGCCGCCAGCGACGTCGCCCCGAAATCGCCGTCTTCTCCGTCGACCACGGTCGCACCTGCCGCCCCCAGTCGTCGTCAACAGCGGCAGCAACAGCAGCAACAAGCGCACCAGCAGCAACACGTGTATGCTTACACGATAACCAACGTGACGCGATTGTTGCGCAACTACACCGGGTCTGGATCCAGCGGCGAAGAACGAGGAGCTGGAGGAGGAGAAGGAGGAGCAGAAGGAGAAGGAGGAGGAGGAGGAGGAGGAAGAGGAGGAGAAGGTGAAGGTGGAGGAGAAACAGAAGGAGGCGCAGGTCGTCGTAGTAGCGGTGCCAAGATAACGAGCGGTGAACCGTCGCAGCGGCGTCAGCAGCAACAGCAACAGCCGCCGCCGCCGCCGCCGCCGCCGCCGCAGTCTTCTCCTCTTCTGCTTCCTCGTGCTGGCGACGGTATAGACCCGGCGCGAGCGCCGGCGGGACTCAGTGCTGGCGCGACCGTCGAGCCAGCCGCAACTGTTGGAACGTCGCCAGGTGCCGTGGTCGGTCTAGTGGGGGAACGAGCGAGGAAAGTAGTCCCGCAAGTGCAGCAGCAGCAGCAGCAGCAGCAGCAGCAACGCGTGACCAGTCAACGGGCGATCTGGTCGGCGCAGGCAGCTCCGAACGACAGCCTCGCGCTGCCGACGTCGAGGCCCGCGAAGCCGACGGAGGCCGCGAGCAGCAGAGGCTCCGTGAGGTGGAGTCTCGTCAAGCCGAAGATCAGCGAGCAAGAGGTTGCGAATGACCGTAGATTCCTGAGGAAGAGCGCTAGCGCGGTGCTGAACCAGCGCTCGACCGTCCACGAGGAGGTCCCGTCGCCGCTGGCGAGCAAGCGTCGTCGAGTGTTGACTTCTCCGAGTGGGCTGTCCACTTCGCCGCCAACGAGCAGAAGGGTGAAGTCGAGTGAGCGGCCCGAGGGTGCCAAGGTAGGCAGGGTGTTAGTGGTGGACGATCGATCGGACAACAGGACGGTTGCGAGTCGCGGCAAGGCTCCGGACGATGAAGTGCCGGCTCCTGCGGAAGTCGCGCGCGCCAGCGGGCTGAACGAAGTGCCGCGCGACAGCAGTGTGCAGGAGACGACCGCGGTTAGCAGCAGCGTCCTCGCGACAGCAGCCATGGTGAACTCGAGCCGCAACTCCAGCGCAACCGGCGAGGCGATGGACGCGACCGAGCCGTCGGTGCTTTTAGACTCGGCCGCGACAACGGAGGAGGACAGGCCCGACGTACTCGTCGCGGACGAGGACGTCGTCACCGCATCGAGTGCAGCCGACAGGGGTGGCGTCGGGCGTACCGTGACGCCCGACAAGGGCGAGAGTGACGCGAACACGACGACGAGCGAAGAGATCGCGACGATTGTGGCAGTGAGCGAGCAGGTCGCTGAGACGACGATGAGCACGACGTCGACGACGTCTACGTCACCGGCGGCGCCGGTTTTCCCGGTCACGCCGAGGATACTGGCGGAAACGGACAAGACCACCGCCGGGGAAGCTTCCACCCTGAGGCCGTCGGACGGCTCGAAGCCGCGGGAGGTGAATAACCAGCCGTCCGGCATTACGACCGACTTGGATCCTTCGGAAATCCAGAAGAGGTACCGAGCCAAGGAGATGACCAGCGCCACGCCGGCTCCGCCGACGACAACGGCTTCGCCGGGCGGGGACGACTCTGGTCCCGCGGTCGACGCGAGCCCAAGCTCGACCGGCGAGCCGGAAGTGCCGAGCGTGTCGGCTTCAAAGGGGAGCGGAAGGCGCGTATCCGGCGAGAGGTCGCCGGAAGTCCGAGCGCGCAACCTGTCGGACAAGTCGAAGGACAAGGACGAGGATGTGCTGCCAATCATGCACTTGTACAACACGTCGGACATCTTCAACGGCAGCGGGCCGATGGACGGCTTCGCCCGCGGCACGGAGCGGCCACGGCTGGTGCTTCCGGTGAGCTCCGGCTCAAAGGACGAGGCGACGGCGGCTCCGACGCCCGCAAAGAAGAGCACGTCTGAGCCGGCTACGAGGCTGGCCGGTGCGACGGAAGTCGCTCCCGGCGGAAGCACGTCCACCACCACCGTCGCCAAAGCGAAGGAGCCCACCGCGAGCCCGCCGAGCTCTCGGAAGGACAAGCATGAGGAGCAGCGCGAGTCGCAGGACACCAGCGCTCCAGCGTCCCGGGGAGCGTCCACCTTCGCGCCTGCGAGCGGTAACAGGACGAGGTACAGGCCGTCATATCACCACTCGATCCTGCCGGAGTACAACGGCACGATGTACTCCGCCGGGTTGAACAGGACGTTCCTCGAGATCGGCCCGATCTCGGTGAGCCCGCGCGAATCGATGAACATCAGTGAGGTGATATCGAAGCGGCACGACGGCGACGCGATCGCCACCCAGGAGACGGTCGCCGTGGTCAGCTACATCTTGGCCACCCTCGTCGTCTTCCCCATCGCCGTCGGCGTCGGGCTCATACTCAGAAGACTGATACTTAGGAATCGTAAGGTGAGCTTCGGGGTTTTGAGGTCGCGCGCCCGCGCGTAGTTTCACCGGGTCGGAGCGGTGATCGGGATTAGAAAGTATGCGGATCGCCGACGGACAGCTTCGTGCCGACCTCGCGCGCGTTGCCCTGATATTTCGTGTCTTTCTCCTTTCCGCGCGCAGCCGCGATCGAGAACGCGATCTGATTCCGCGTCGTTGAATGTCGGAGACGAGCGCGCGCGCGCGCGCGCATGCGAGCGAGCGGAGAGGTTCTCGCGAGGCGCGAATTCTCCGCTGGGATCGGAAGATTGTGATGAGCGTGACTTCTTTCGAAAGTTGCTGGAAAAATTGGAAGATGAAAATCGGGAGAATTGCTTTTAATGTTATATGAGGCCAGCGAGAGCTGCCGGTCGAGTTAGATTAGAATTGGATAGAAATTCAATTGTTCAATTGTATTTTATTCAAGTCACGACAAATGCTTTATCATGGCTATTGAAAAAATTACAACGGAAGCCTCTCGAGGAATAAACCGGAAGAGCAGAGACGAAAGTCGAAGAGAATTTTTTTTCCGTAGTCGATAATCCTATTAAGACCGATCGAAGATTAGTTTAGATTTAGATAATGTGCAGTTTGATTCAATTTTATCCAATGTACGATAAACGTGTGTCTTGTTGTGAATATTATTAATTTTAATGGTTTCCCTTGAAAAAGATCTCGAAGAAAAAATCGAAATTAGACTTCCCGGCAAGAAAGAAAACTAATGAGAGTATCAACGGAAAAAACGCATCGGAGATGTTAACAGAACGGCATTAGTCATACGAGAAGTGTCAGCGAGAGAGAAACGATGATAGGCGAAGATACCACGGCGATCGACAAAGCGACGATAAAGATGCGCGATAATTAGCGCGTGATGATAACGGAGCTAATTACGGTTTTTAAGTGCGAGATAATAATTCAGTGGCAAGAGATGTGGGCGTCGGGTAGCTCGGTAATGGCATTGAACTTGCGGTGCGGCATCGTCTAATTGAGGATCGACTAGGATCTACCTCTCTCGAGTGCGATCGAGATTATCTCGGCGACGAGATGAACAGCGGTAGAGAGAGAGAGAGAGAGAGAGAGAGAGGGAGAGAGAGAGAGAGAGGGAGAGAGACAGAGAGACAGAGAGAGAGAGAGAGAGAGAGAGAGAGAGAGAGAGAGAGAGAGAGAGAGAGAGAGAGAGAGAGAGAGAGAGAGAGAGAACGAGAGAGAAAAGCGCGATGGCTAACTCCGTTTTTAATCGATGCGCGAGCCAGGGTGCCCGACTGCTGCACAAATCGCCTTTCGTATAACAGTGCCACTTACGTACCGTTACGCCGCGGTCGCGAGGCCGGGGTTATCATCGCACGCGGGTATTTATCATACGGCCATTAACCGCTCGCGTTTCGTTATCTCCCAGGCTGGGCCCGGGCATCGCGGAATTACGCCGGTATTTTGATAATTATCGCGCAGGACCGAGCGGCCATTGTCGGGTCGTCATTGTTACGGGTCATTACGCGTCATCAGGCGAGCCGGAACGCTGCGAGTCGGAGCCGCAATTATCGGAAAGTGCGGTCCTTCCCTCCGAAGGATCACGCGGCTGCGCCCGGGACGAATTCTCGCGTTATCGCGCGATTTACCTTCGCCGCGAAATTATCGCAATTCGCGGGGAGAAATGTTTCAGGTCGGATGAACGAAGTTCTTGATGATATATAAACGATGCGGAAGCGCGGGTCCACGTTATCAGAATTCGGTTTAAATTATCAGGATTTGTGGTTGACTTTCAATCAGGACTTCTCGAAAATGTATTCCTCGCCAGAAAATTGATCCCTTCAACCAAACATTTTTCTCCGTGTGGAATTCGCGGAATTGGATCCTACAAATTTTTCATTTCAAATTGAAATGAAGCAAAAATTTTATTTTCTTTCTCAACCCTCTCGAGATGCGCTGTGCAACCCGCGGAGGAAAATCAGAGACGCCGTATTTAGATTGGAAACAATTGGCGAGATTGAATTGGAGAAACGGAGCGAAGACGAGTTTTAAAAATTAAAAAGTTCAAACGGCAGCTAGGATTCCTTTTCCTTCCTTGATCCTCTCGGAATGCGGTGTGCGGTCTGTGGAAGAAAATTAGAGACTCCTTCTATTAGAGGATACACCGCCATATTTAGAGTGAGGAAAATTTTGCCGCAGCGCGAATCGTAAAGCCCGCGCTAAATTAGCGCGGCCGTGACTTCGCCGTGAATGAATATCAAACGCGGTCATCGAGTAATTCCTTCGCGAAGGCCTCGCGATGATTCATGAAATGGTTAACGATCCCCCGTCCCTCCCACCGGCCAGGCAATTACTACAAGTTCATTGTATGCAGAATAATCTCGGAGGTCCCGTTTGCGAGACGGGATCGATCGCATCGACGAACTGACGGACGGAGCGGGACTCCATAGTAATGGGAAAATTAATGCGCCGTTGGATAATGCGAAAATTGTTCGACTCATTGTCCGTGATGAGTCGCTTTCCGCGAAATTTTCCTTGGGCAGCCGGCGAGGAGATCGCATCGAAGGTCGGAAATCCTCTCTTGCATCGGAAAATTGAGAACGTTCGCGCAGGAATTCAATTATTATTCATCGCGTCGACGGCGCGCTTCTCTTCGCCAGGATACCTCGGGAATTCTTTAAATCTTTAACAGAACATTCCTTCGATTAAAGTTCTTTAATCGCTGAGCAAAAACTCTCGTTTTCGACCTTGTTTCCATATTAGTACAAACTTCTCTTACATTAATGCAAATTTGATAAAACTCAATACAGACTTCGAGCGACCGTATCTCCGCGATCACAACTCGCAACCGGAATCTCATTATATGTTTTCAAGTGACGGGGGTCGAATTCCTTTTTCATTTGTCCGAGTCGGAAACTTCTCGCTGTCGAAACCGCCGGCACGGGAAGGGGGGTGACGCGCGGGTCACAATTTCCGGAAATGACACAAGCGAAATCCCTTCGCGCCCGAGACATTCATAAATAATAAGGCAGGCATAAATTTAAATTTAACCCGACAGTCATGGAAATAAACCTGAATGGCGGTACAAAGGTGCGCGTGGACGTAAAAGAAAGAATAAAGAGCCGCACGACCGGAGGAAGGGAGAAAGGGACGGGCGCACAAGGGCCAAATAAATAGGCGGGGCCGCGTTTGGGGGCCGTCTGGGGCCCGACGCTAAACTCGAGCATGCTGTGTTCCCCGAGATTGAAATTTCACCGTCGACAGGCGAGGCGATCCGCTTTCCTGACGATTCTCGCATGACACACGAGCGATTATTCGCCGTAGGTGCTTTTCTACGAAACAAACTCGCGCCAAGATAACGCGCGCGTCGTCGCGAATATCGCAATAAAAACGCCGTGGAATTTTATTTTGCATTGTCCGCGCGTCGTGCATGTTTTCGAGATAATTTCGTTTCTCAGTAGTAAATCAAGCTCGTGCGCGATTAATCACGCGTGTCATCTGTCGCGACAATATCGGCGAACACACAGCGCGTGTAATAACAATTCGGACAGCTACCGAATTGTCTGCTCCTTTTTTTTTCTTTCTTCCTTCGGTTAACCGCGAACTCGAGTTTTTCATTCATTTCGAATCACTCAACGCGTCCGGTTGCCAAGAGAGAGTCCTCGATTGAAAATCGTATCGAAGGTCGGGATTATCGTGGATCAGCAAAGAGCTTACTTGTGTTAAATCGACCGAGCACGCGGGAAAAGATATCACAAGAAAAGTGATTGCTCGGGTTTGCTTTTATTCTTTCAAGTAATGGTTATCTTCACCGAAGAACACTTTTCTTGATAACCATGTGTTGAGAAGTGTACTCATCAAAAATTTGTGAAAAAAGCTTCTTATCGAGTGCTCTTAAGGGGAATTTATTATCTTTACAAGAATGTTAGAACTTATGACTCTATGTGGAAAAAGGCAAACTAAACTTTTGCCTTCATTTGATATTCTTCATCAAAGTACCTGACACGCCAGGACTCAGGACGCATTAGTATGCAGATATATTTATCTAGAGTAAATTTTTTGTATATACGATAAATTTGTGATAGATTCACAGGAATGTGAACTTACCAGACACTCGAAGCAAGCAACATTTACTTGAGAATGCAGTGTGTATTTTTCTGCGCGTGCGAGCTGCCCTTCGGGTCTTACCAGAGGTATAATCTCGGAAATTATTAATATAACTTTATCCCGACGTGTTATTATTAATACCAGTTGATTCTCTCATTACGCGTGCGAAATAGCCGCGTCTCCTCGCAAACCGTCGGTGGTTAGGGGAAAATTTAATAGGGGGAAACGCGGTTTTACACGCGCGCGCGCGCGCGTGCGCGTATACCAAGAGAAAAAGAGTGAAAGACAGAGGGAGGGACCTCCTGCTGTTCGCACTCACTTATAGAAAATACTCTAATGCTGCTGAGGTTAATCCGGTTTCTCGCGCGAGAGCCGCGTATCCGCCGAGCCGTTTTTGCGTCGTTCGCGCGTATTTTAACGCCGTCGTAAGAACGTCAACGTCGTAGTCGCGCAGTATGCGCAGGCGCTTTTACTTCGGCCCGGCGATGTCGCCCGCGAAAATATGGTCGGGTCGCCTCGATCTGTCCCTCCCGTGTGATCCATATCGCACCTGGCCAATTAACACCGAGGGTGACGACGACCGCGAGTGATACGCGCGCGCGTGCTCGCCAAATGTAGATTTCGTGCGCTCACGCTGATTCCTTTTCTCTCTTTCTTTCTCTGTCTTTCTCGCTCGTCTCGCAGGTGCTAGAGGAGTCGGACACGTCATCGGAGATAAGCTGCAGGAAGGACGCTCTTAATCTCGAGAACGGCGACTTCAAGACGTCCATCGAGAAGGCGATCACGAAGCTACCGAGGATACAGCACTTGGTGAGATATGCACGAGAGAGATTCATCGTCGAGATAGCCTTCGCGGATTTCCGATCGAACGCGAAATATAAACGGGGCGGTGAGAGCACGGTGGAATAGAAGAGCTTTAATAATTAACGGACGCGATGATAATTAACCCCTTGTCCTACAACAACGAGTGAGACTCTCGTGGTAAGAAATTTGGGCCAAAAACAATGAGCACGAGCCTGACCCGTGGTACTTCGTTCGGACCAAACGTAAACAACACGAGCCTGGCTCGTGGTACTTCATTCGGGAAAAACATAAACAACACGAGTCAGACTCGTGGTTCAGTGGTTCTCGATATTTCCTTACTTTAGTTACGTGCAATTCTTCGTTACGTTCACACGTTTAGGTTATAATTCCCTAAAAGAATTAAACAATCCTTATACCTATCATGTCGGTAAAAAGAAAATCTAATATCGATGATAATTCCTTTCGTTGCGCCGAAATATACACGTCATAAGGCGCGTACATTTTGCGCAAGTTCGAGCACACGGCTAAACAGCTAAATGGCTCGACGCGTGACCGACCTTCTTGTTTATTGTGGCCCGAGCAATCGGGAGTTAGCGGGTAGGACAAGGGTGCTTAAGCCCGTGGTGGTCCTTTATTCGAGTCATTGAAGGAGTTAGTTTAGATAGACAGTTTAGACAGATGGTCTTGAAGAAGAAAGAATTTATTAAGATTCGTGATCGTTAAGTACCGTGCGATAAGAGTATATAATCATGCTGCGTTTTGCATACAGAAACATTGTGACACGTAATAATTACCGTGGTAATATTAACATATCGGAAAACATATCGTTGGAATAATTGTCCGCGGAAAAATATTTACGGTCGTTTGTATATTATGTGAAAAAAGGATAATGATTTGTCGCGCCGCGTTTTGTACGTAGGGAAATCGTTGACGCGTGTGACTCACGGGAGTGAGTCCTTCATTTGAATAATTATCAAGATAATTCGAAGTGTTATTTTTAATAATTATCGAAATTAATTAAGAAAAAAATTAGGAATATCGTCGAAACAATTTTCATGGGCAAAATTTGTCGTTAGAAAAATAATCTTCTTTGAATAGATTTATTCCTTGAGATTATTCTCATTGGCTGGATTTGTCGCTCGAGATAATTGCCGTCGAATAAATTTATCACTTTCGCGATTATTCGCGATCATTCACATTCGCACAACAAGAAAAAGGATTCGTCGCACCGCGTTTCGTAAATAGGAAAACTGCGCCACGCCTAGACTCGCGTCAACGGAAAACCCGGCGAGTTCCTTCGCCCAGCTCAGAGGAAGCTTCTACGTGAACGACGCTGACGACGCGTCGAAGCTCGCTCACCCTCGCGCCTATCAATTAGTAGTTATTTTTAGACTTTCTAAAGTGCAACCGAACACACACACACACACACCCGTCGCAACTGTCTCTCTCTGTACGCAGTGTCACGAAGCTGAGAAACCGCCGCCTTCGTCGAGCCAGGAATCCAGATGGGAGTTTCCTAGAGATAAGCTTAGGTTACAGACAGTCCTCGGGCAAGGAAACTTCGGCCAGGTGAGAGGCATTATTTCCCGCGCGTGTGCTATAAAAAACCACGCCTGTAATTCGTCGGAAGGATCTTTTTCCGTCTCTTTTCCTCATCAAGCACTCGGGAATCACGCGGAAATCTAATCTTCGCGACAAAATCGGAAAGTCCGAGCAAGTCCTTCCGACTGCTGTCCGAGACGAAGGGACCTCGTTCTTTCTCGCGCGAGCGAATTATTCCATTCGTGTTTATTTGCAATGGCCGCTTTCGACGTGTGCAACCCCGATCGCCGTATTCATCAGACGGTAATGGGCACTTAGCGCGATATTGGTATAATCAAAATCGATTATGCGAAATCGATGGTGGGAAAAACACTCGGGGAACATATAATCCGTCGCTGTATGCGCTTTTGCCGGTAATAAGCGGGAGATAAAAAATTCCGGGGCGGATGGGGCCGCTCGATTGGTCGCGACGTTTCTCAGGAAAACGACTGTGCATTTCTCAACTGAACTGATCTCAGGTGTGGAAAGCCGAGGCCGACGATCTGACCGGTCATCAAGGTACCACTCGCTTGGTAGCAGTGAAAACCGTCAAGGAAGGCGCCTCCGATCGGGAGAAGGAGGACCTGGTCCGGGAACTCGAAATCATGCAGCAACTGGGGAGCCATCCGAACGTTGTGACGCTTTTAGGCTGCTGCACCGAAGAAGGTAAGACGCGTGTCTTATCGCTCTTACTTTTCTTTTTTATTTCTTTTTTTATTCATTTTTTTTTACTTGTTACTTATAAACGATCAACCATCTGAAAATAATAAGAAACAAAAAAGAAGGGAACGGAAATGGAATTACTAGAAGATTATGGTAAGTAAGGAAAGAAAAAAATTTATATTTCCATATCATTATTGAATCTAATGAGAACGGAGATATACGATAACACCGGTTGCGAAAAATCGTGATGATTCATGGAGCGAGATATGTTTTTATTTAATATTGCTACAATTATCCCGCGAGAACCCGACTGAGATTCTTGAGCCCATTTCGTGACAAATAGGGTCAAATTGGTTTCGATCGCCGAGTCGCACGCTTATAAACCGCATACGCTTCGGTTATAAACGTTATCGCTCGCGCAAATCGTGCACTCTTCGTGCAATCTTCGCGCGCAAAAGATGCGAGTCTCTTGCATCTTCCTCGTGCGCGTCGCGTTCTTATCGAGCGATAATCGTTCGCACGGTTTCGAGCGGTTGCGCAACGAGATAACGTCGCAGTGAACGATAACGATTAATCTTCGAAGGCGAAAACGTTTTTCGTTTCTCTCTTTTTTTTTTCTTCTCTTCGTTCCTTTGTTTCGCGGCCATGTCCGTTTAGACGTGTAATTTGAACGGTCGTTATGATAATCACGCGTGCGAATCGCTTTGTTTCTCGAGCGCGAAGATTTATTCTCATCAACGGCTGTTATCTGCGTCGCGGCGGGATAATTGCGGTTAAATTTTCCACATAAACTTGACAGCCGCGAATTAAGTCGTTGTAAACAATTTACCGGTCGGAGGAGCGCAATCTTTGCGCTCGGTGGTTTGCCGACGTCGCGTCTCGCGAGGTCTTGAAAAATTCGTCTCGTACAAACAGTCGCGGGAAAAACTGATAAATAAATTATCGATGTGCTCCGTTGAAATCCGCCGCGTTTCACCTGCTGACAGCAGGTGTCGAGCAGGTTTTTCTCGCGAGCTGGCGAAAAAATACCGTAGATCCTATCGGCCTGCCGCGAACAAAAGTATGATCGATGAACGTTCCCCGTTATTTCATCACCTCATGATTGATTAAAAAAAGAGAGAGAGAGAGAGAGAGAGAGAAAGAGAAAGAAAGGCACATCGCGCGATCGTTCCGCTCTCACAAAGTCGAATCACGGGATCGAAGGTGATTGATGCTGCGGGCTTTCATTATCGAAAGCGAACGCGCAACGAATCGGCAAATAATTCGCCTGCCGGATGATCGCACGGTTAAATTAGCCCGTGAGGATCGGGTGCCGCGTCGCGAAATATCGTAAAAGGAAATTAATTACGCTTCTTCGTCGGCAACTTCCCGGACACCGGGCGAATTATGTAACATGTGCACGGAGCCTCGGAATGGAGTCTCGTCTCGCGAGATGGAAAAATTCGCGTGCCGGATGAATTATTCGCGTGCGAGTGAATCATTATATCCGTAAGAACGTCTCGTGTCGCGAAGGAGATAACGAAATAGGAAATCAATTATTCTTTACCGGTGTTTTTCTGCATATACTGGACAGGACAGGTTATAAAAGGTACGCGCTACGAAAATAATAATCCTTTGTTTCCCGAATCGTAATTTCGCTTCTGAGTTAATGCTGATGGAATTACCGACGATTATTTCCACCTGAAATGATAGATTCTTTTTTTTTTTAATATGTGGTACAGTCAATAAGTTGTTCACAATTCTTGTGGAGTGATTAAATATAATAATTCACATTTGTTGCTTGTTGAAATTATAAACGAAGATAATCGAAATTTTTAGAATCTATTTCAAGGCTGTCATTCATAGTCCGTCGTTGTTCGATAAATAATCATAGCTTGATGTGTCTCTAATACGTTGAATGCCGTGACGGTCACCAGTGACTGGTATTACGATGTTGCCGCGTCTTATGAAATTACGTGTGTAGTTTAATTAATTGCATCAGAAGAACTGATTGCATGGCCAGCTAAACGACGCGGAAGATATACGCAGCGCGCATCACATTTATTTCCCGTGTCTTTGATTGCACCCGCTCGTCGATTGAAAATTTGTAAATTCGACGAAAATTAATGTAGCAATTAACGCGCGTTTTCTGCAATATTTTATTTTGTTCAAGAAAAAATGTCGATCTGAAGAATTACATAACGGTCCAACGGAATATCTCAATAATAATGGTCTCAATAAAAACCGTGAATAATTTATGACTACTAAGAAGTGCTGATATTTGTTTTTTCTAACAATGCTTCTTAAGTAGCAAGGTCTACCTTATCTGCATATGCCAACGTCTTTTCTCGCTTCCGCGAGGCCATCGTCATCGTCATGCCGAAATCAAATTTAAATCTTCACTGATGTTTACTCAGGTGTTACTCAGGTCTTCGATGTCTCTCCTCACCTCCTTTGAATAGGTGATTGGTGGATGATCCTTTGGATGAACATCTTATAACGGCTCTCTAAGCTTCTTGTTTATTTGTTACTTTTTGAAGGACACGAATCGTCGCAAAATCGATCCGGTGCGATTCTCGCGATTTTCCGCGCGAACGAATTTACGGTAGAGACATCAGAAATTTGCTCCGATGATCTCGCATGTGTCGGGACGCGCCTCGGGAAGGAGCAAGGAGAGACCATTATACGTCTTTTCTTCCACGCTGCTCGATATCGTTGCTTCTCATCGTTCGTATAAATTTCCATACGCATCCGCGCGTTCGCTGGTACGACGTGCCTCCTCTACGCGGCACAATACGTCTATTAAGTCGGTATCCCCGCGAGACGCTCGTTCCCTTCGCGGATCAAAAGGGAAGCAGATGAAAAAGGCGAGGCTGAGACGGAGATACGATTCGAGAGATCGAGTCGCTTGAGCAGCGCGACGACCCGACGGCCGATTATCGCCCGGTTTCGTTTAATGAAATTATCACCGCTATTGTGCGCGCGCCCCTTGAGCCTCTCTTCGCGTTAATTAAAACATGCGCGTCGAGGGTGCTCAGCCGGTCGCAGTGATGTGGTGAGACTATCTGTGCAACACTCTCCTTGTAACACGTTGGCTGCTAAACACGCTGATTTGCTCTGATTTTTTCTCGATGTTTTCTCGACGCTCGAGGTAATTGGAAACAATTGAATTGATTAAAGATCTCTTTTGTCAATTTTGGTCTTGTGAGAAATTTTTCTATTTCTATTTCTTTTCCATTTGATCTCTATTCTTTCCAGGGAAATTCAGTCGCACCAAAGGAGTTTCTTTTCTCTGTGTATTTAATTTGTTTTATAGTTAGTTACGTTTCGAAACGCGATACAAATATCGTAGCGCCGGTCACCAACGCAGCCAATGTGTTAATTAATGCTCACGTGCGAATTCCAACGTTCTTTCGCCGAATTACAAATTTTTCCCCGACAAGGCGCCGAGATCGGGAAAAGAGAAGATAGAAAGCTGGTCGATAAAATGTCGCGTTAAGTTTTTGCGGGAGAGGTCCCGACGAGAATGTAAAACACCCTCGTCCTCTTAATATTTTCTGCTCGGAAGAATGCTGAAACGCAGCGACAAGGCGCGTAGCTAATCGGTTATTCGGCGATTCGCAGAAAAGGGTCGTTCACGCGGGAAAATTAGCGAGAGAAGTCGGCGAGGTTTATTAGGGAGAAATTCGTCCACCGGGCCCGCAATCATTCTCCGCGACGATAAAAAACGCTCATCGCTACTGCACTAAAAGATCCGGACAAGAGAATCCTCGCTAGATCCTTGACGATCCTCCACCGTCGCGATGGTGCTGATTATCGCCGAGAAAGAAGCGACATTTTATCGAGCTCTCTATTTTTCTTCCTTCCGATCCTGTCTTTCCTCGTCGAGGAAAAATTCACAAATTCGCGAGAAAACTTGAGAAAATCCGCACGTGAGTTTGAAATTAATAATACACCCACGTGTTAATTTTTTGTTTTCAAAATAATAGTCGGTCCTTGAGACAATTGTAGGACCCCGACAAAAATTGTATCACAGCAGCTCGCTTTGGCGTCTAGATTCCGGCGTGACGAATCTACAGGGAATTATTTCCGTCTTCGAATTACACATTTTTAGTTTTCAAGACGATGCACGTGCACCGCTTTTAGGGCCCCCTTCGCGGCTGCTCCCGCACAATGGAGAGCTTCCTCGGTCGCCCACACGCGGTCGGCCACCGCGCATAAAATTTACGACGTTTAAATTTCGGCCGCAGCGCGTTTATCGTTGCGGCGGCGGCGACGGAGGCGGCCGAATTTCTTCCCGGGGACGCGCGTCAAAGCGCGCGGCCCGTTCGACTCGGTGCTTTACGAGCGGCGTTTTGGACGGGGAATAAAACAGTCGTGACGCGAACAGTCGTTTCGCCGGCCACCGCAGGAATTATTAACGCGAGAGTGGAGAATACTTCTTGCCAGCTCTCTCTCCGACTCGATAAGTTATCGCGCGTCCGCGAGCGTTACTTCTCGCCTCGCCTTGGAAACGGCGTGTCCCTCCGAGTCGCGTCGCGCGAATTCGCCGACGTTGCAATCTTAATCGCGTCGCGACGAGGCGACGACCTGGATTTCTGATGACTGCGCGAAATTTCTCTTACTGCCGGCAAAATTCCCCCGACTCGCCACTCTCCGGCAGAAATGGCGCGAACGGCGCTCTCTTTCGTTTAAGGTCCATCTCCGTCTCTCTTTCTCCTCTAATCGGGCCTCGGCTTATTTATCTGCTCTCACAGACGCGGCGAGGTGTGTATGGAATAGAGGTGACATTAAGAACCGGCATTCTTTAACATTGGCGAGGTCGCGCGTGTTGTGACCCTCTCTTTCTCTCTCTCTCTCTCTCTCTCTCTTGTCGCGGCTTTTTCATGCAGATAATGTCCTGATAGCTCGAAGAGGTACCGTTCCGACGTTTTATTTCACCACAGCTGCCTCGTCGGATCCAAGATGGATTCTCGGTGTCCGAGCGTGTCCTTATCTGGCGACAGCCGACGAACGCGCCCCGAAATTCGACGGGATTAATCGCGCGTCTCTCCCTGCGGGAAAGCCTCTGCCTCAGAGGACTCGTCCATCTGCTTGAAAAAACGGTGTCCAGACGCGACGACAGACTCGCATGTGCGACGTGGGAGATTGCAAAACCACTCCCGTCCGAAAGGTCAGCCCGCGAGTCGCCTCGTCCTTCCCCCGAGCGCTTCGCTGAAACGCGCTTGTTTATTCCGCCGGTTGTACACGCGGCGACGCTCGATCGCGTTTCCACGATTATTATTGCGCGCGCGAGGCGGGATTCGCGCGCGTAAACGGTAAGCGGAACCATATACGCCGGCCAGGGCCGCGCGCTTCTATTGTTTCGCATTCGTCACGGCTATTGTATCGCGCGTGCCATATCGATCGACGTAGGCGCGGATCCGCGCGATTTTTGCGCGAACGGATCGGAACGCAGAACTGGCGCGAATCCAGCGCGCGTGTGTGCGCGCGGAAAAATCGGTCGGTTCGACGTTGTTCGTGTCCTTCGCGCGATCGAGCGGACAGGCGACGACGAGGGCGATTTTTTTTCATCGCTGAAAGAGCATTCCGGCAAAAATTGGAAATCAATGATCGTCGAGACGTTCTTAGGCGTGAAATGAGATTTCTTTGTCTCTTCGGCGAATGGAAAATATCGCTGCCCCTCTCTTCCTCTGTTTGTGACTTCGTATAATTTAATAAAGACAAGGAACAAAAGGATCATGGGCGGATTCTTCCGTCACTGATTGTGCATAAAATAACATCCCGTTGTCTCCTCGAAGGAAGAAAAATGTCATTTCGACATTATCTCTGCCTACGACTTTGTGTAATTGAACAGAGACAGGCGGCTGAAATCAAGGGAGGATTCCTCCATCGCTGAAAATGAAAATCGCATAGAACACAGAAAATAATACTTTTGATAATTTTGCAGTCAATTTTCTTTAACGTTGCTTTTATGCATGAAACAATGTTCCATTGTCTCTTTGATCAAGAAAAAACGTCGTTTCAACGTTACTTCTATTCGGAATTTTATATAATTTCACAGAGAATAATTTCGCGCGATTAAAATCGAGGGAGAATTTACCCGTCGCTCTTTCTGTCGCACAAAGCGCGCAAAGTAACGCTTCGACAACATTTCAAATTTCAAATTCATTATGTCTCTCATGCTCGTGCTTTCATCATTAAAATAGCGTTCCACTGTCTCTTTGACGAGTCACCGACTCGTCCGAGCGATCCGCTCAGTCGCTTTTCGGTCGATTGAATAATAACAGGCAGAATTGATCGCCATCGGCGTATTAATAATGTTCGTGCGCGCGATGCGTCGTGATAACGAGCGGCGCAGCCGTTCACGGCGCGGTATCGCGACATTGAATCGTTAATGGATAATTAATAACGCGCGAGTCGACACAAGAGCGGAACGGCCACCGCGAACATTACGTCGCGTTCAATCCGGCCGGAGAAATGTATCGGCCGTGCGTTAATCCTTCGGCGGGCGCGTTAACGCACCACTTTGCGACCGAGAATTATTAGAGGGTGGTAATGTTGACCTAATATGAGAATTACGATGGCGGGACGCCGACGAAAGCGGCTCCATAAGTTACAATCAGGCGACCTTGCTATCCACAGGGGCTCCCTCCATCTCTCTCTCTCTCTCTCTCTCTCTCTCTCTCTCTCTCACTCCTCCCCTCTCTCAGCAAAGCACGTCGCTTAAATTATTTCTCAAACACTCCGCGAATTTCTCATCCTCGCCACGGGACTTCCTAATTGACAACACGCGCGTCCCTTTTCTTTTTAATTTCCATGCGCGATGGAAGTGGCCTCCGAGTAAACTTTGCGAAAAGAGCATGATCCATCAGGCGCAACAAAGCGATCCATGTGAATGCTCAAGTCGCACGTAGTCGTTACATTCACATTCGCCTACTTTTATGTCCATTGTGGGGGATTGTAAGGAGACTCACGTAGACGCGGTCGGGAAAAATTCGCCGAGCCTTGGAAAGCGCGAGCGACGCCCGCGGGAGAAATGCCGCTTTTCTTGTGCATGCGCGATGATATTTTCAGTTTTCACGGCGATTCGCACGCGTCGAATGCCAAACGACTGGAGGTAGCTTCTCCTCCGGGCGAATCGGCGTGTAAAGGCCGATTCTCACTGTTCGTCCAGACTACAGCAGACAAGAGTTCGTTCATCCCACTGAGCTCCAGCTTGACTAAAATCGGCGAGAAAATGGCGAGCATAAACCGGCAGATTGGAACCATTCCTGTTATACGTAGTCTAGTCGAAATACTCTACGTTACGCGGAAGAAAAAGAAGAAATCAGTTGAACAGAAAATCCTTAATTTTCAGAGTTGAAGTTGGTTCATTAGAAGCAGAAATCCTGCTTCCTTCGACGAAAAGTCATCTGGCTCGTTCACTGTCACAATAATTCAACCAACTTTTATTTCCATGTAAGATGAGATAGATTATACCTTCCTTTCAAATTGTCTCACGTGGTTTGGAAGCAATAGACACTCTCATTCCAGTTTAGAGTTCAGTGATCCATCCTTCGTCCTCTTTCTTTTTTTTTTTCTTTTTCGAGATGATGGAACGCGAATATTCCAATGCAAAAGAATATTTCGAGATCGACAGTCTCCTTGCCGTCGTCGTGTCCAGACGACGGGCAGTGAGAATCGGGCTTAACCCAGAGTGAGTAAGCTCCGATGAATAAGAATTATCCTTCGGCGATTGAGATCTCCACGCTACAAAACGCGCAGGGGCGACACGCTCCAATGCTCCCGCTCGCGCCATGAATAAACATCGAGGATGCAGCTTTATTTTTCTACGATTACAGAGCCTCATTATCTCATACTGGAGTACGTCATGTACGGCAAGCTGCTGGCGTACCTGCGCGACCACCGCACCAGACAGTACTTCTACAACTTCAGCGAGGACTCCGCGGCCTTGACGTCCAGGGACCTCACCGTTTTCGGCTATTGCGTCGCCAGAGGCATGGAGTACCTCGCGTCGAAGAAGGTACGAGTTACTCTCACATGTCGTCTCACCTCCCTTCGCCAAGTCGTCCTTACACGAAGAGAATTTTACGGTGACAATTATTGTAGAATTTTGTAGCCGAGGGACACGTCGACATTCCGCCTTGATTCACCAAGCGCACGCGATTTAGCGGTACAAGTCGACGCGACTTGTCATCTTTGTTAGCTGTGGGCGTGGAATAAATGGAAAATCGTCCTTCGCTTCATGTACGATAAATTCCATTGAGTAGAGAATATTATAAAATAAAAATTTATATGGAAAAAGCTGTAATATTCTCTCCGTGCGGAAAAAAATTGCTCGAAGAGACAAGTTGGGTCGAATTTAAAATTATGAAGGAGAAATAATAAATGTTATCAATATTATCGATTGACTTCGAGCAAGTTTCATGGGGACGACTGATTTTCTCTCCCAGATGTTTTACGTTGCACGTTTCGCGGGCGAGGCGAAGAATACAACTTCCCACGTGATACGTTCACGTAAAGAACAGCGTCCTTTTTGCTCTTCTGTATTGCCGGCGCGGCGTATGCGTGACCGCTACGTGCTGTCGGGAAAGAAATTCGATCGAGACACAAGAGGAAACGGAGCCGCGATAATAAATCTCGGCACGGCACTTTTGGGCCCGATGAAATCAACGCGTGCGACTTTAACGGCCTCGGCCGCGTTGACCTCCTCGGCGATGCAAGCGCGTTACGACATGCACTAATTTTACCTTCCCGCGTTGGCTCGTAATTTCGTGTAAATTTAAGATACACACGTACCTTGCGAACGTATACGCGTTCTTAGTTTAATTAAAAATTGCTTCACCTTCATAGAATATCCCAACTTGCTCAATGATTTCACACGAAATCTTGATTCTCTTTTACAATATAATCGGATAAAACTCGTCGGTACATAGCTTGATTTTGTTTATCAATTGAAAAAAAAAATACGAGTTAGAATTTACATTGCATTGCGTGCAGATAGATTTTATAAAAACTATTATTGAAGAGAGAAAAAGAGAACTCTCCCATATTTCGGGTAAGAATGGAATATCGATTGGCATCGTCGTCTCTCAGACGACAAATTTTAGAATAAATTTGAAGAATCTGTTCAGAAAATCTATGCTGTATCCGAGAAAGTCCTGGGAACTTTCTATGCCGTTCTTGCATTTCGTGATAATTTATGTTTCAATAAATATACGGATATCGAATTTTTCTCCACCGAGTAACTGCACGCGAGAAGAGCCGATCTTTGCATATCGGATGTGTTATGGTAATGTTATAGAAATAAAATCTCGCGTTACGCCGATTACCACGCCGACACGTATCCTTGCAGTCCTTCATGACGTCACGTTGTCCCTCGACGACGCGAGATCAGCGGGCTGTCGGCGTCAATTAACGAATCCTCATTATGCAGAACGCTTGTTTATAGACCGTTGTTTATAGACCGAGGCCTCGGCGCGACTAATTATCGTTTCACGCGCGCACGCGAGAGAGAGAGAGAGAGAGAGAGAGAGAGAGAGAGAGAGAAAATCGTTCTCGGTAAACATACAGTTTGCCACACGACCGACAAAATCCTGCGCTACTGCGTCGACAGGATCGTTCCAGTCCTCCTCAGCGTCACAGCGTCGGTCGGCCGCGAACGGCAATTCGTGTCCGCGCGTGATAACGCGCCAATTAATTTCCCCTCATTACGCCCGTCCGCGAAGCGAAGGCTCACGAAGCGACGCGACTAATTTTCGCACCGCCGGAAAAAATCCGCGTCAAGAACGATCGTCTCTTTGGCAAAGGGAGCCGCCGTTCTCTCTTCGCCGGGGCCCGGCGATGTCCTCTCTTCCTCTCGGGCGACGCGTCGCGCGATCGTTACGACATACCTTCGGGACGGAATGGCGGGACCACCGCCAGGCGAGGAGGCGCGATAAATTTCGGGACGACACCTGGACGATCGATACGCGTCGCGGTCGTTTAAAATGTTTAGACGCGGGTCCCGTCGTTAATCCTCGCGCGATTAAAGGCCGCCGTGCCGCTCGGCCGATTACCCCCCTCTGGCCGGATTGTTTTCGGCTCTCCGTGGAAATTCATTTACTTCGAGGCAATGTCGCTGCATTTGTGTGTCGATATTTCGGCATCTAAACATGCAACGGCACATTTTTCGCGACACATTAGGAGTATCCGCAAAATAATCAAGAGCTTAAAAATCTCTTATTCTTGTCAATTTCTACTTGACCTGTGTAGTATTTTTTTGTACGTTATTTGAGTTCAAACGTTCAATTCATTAAATTATCGAGCTGTGTATTGTACATTATGTTATATTCCACTTTATGAGAGAGAATTGGGTATATTCCATTCATTAAATTATTAATGAAAAGAGAAAAACTCCCTAACTTTTGCTTTAGCTCTTGACTTTGTCAAAATATATATATATATCTATTCCGAAACATGTTCCTTTTTGAAACGCGCGACTGCTCATGAGTACCCAAAGTAATTATCTCGTATATACCATTATTGAATAAAAAGTTGCTTTATGAAATTAACTAGAACGAAACGCGATGTCGAGAGCGGAGCGCTCGACGTGGAGCCGCAAGGGTTAATTCATTTTCAGGACGCAATCTCGGCCGCTGCTCGAGTGTTCCGATGCGCCGAACGGTTTCTTCAACCGCAACATTGTACCGCTCTCTCGCTCTCTCCCTCTCGCGCGCGCGCGCGCAGGATCGCCACACTCATCGTACACTTAACGGCCTTTACGGTCAATTATCGTTAACTCCGTTCGCATTCGAGAGATAGGACTGCTGGCGGCTGTCGTGGTGCGCCGATTTGGAATATGGACCGGACGAGTCGTACTCGCGCGAATGCAAAACTGAAGGCGCGCGGTACGGTTGTCTCTCTCCCGCGGCGTGCCGCGGCTGGAAGTCTCGACGCGCGCGATTTTAATATCTCCTCTTTACGAGCAGGCAAGAGGAAACGGTTTCGCGAAGCGTTTACGGCTTCGCCGATAATACGCTCCGGCGTAGTTTGCCTCCCGCGAAAGAATCGCGGCAATCGTCGGTCCACGAAATCCGCCGGTCGCGTCGAGCGCCGAGGAACAGCCAAGAAGAGGTGTAGATGAGGATAGATAAAGGATCCAGGCGTAAATTTCCCCACCTACTTGGTCGCTCGCGACGAAAACGACGAGAGAGAGAGAGAGAGAGAGAGAGAGGGGAGGGGCTCGTGTCCTCCGAGGACAACTGGCACTCCGTGGAAGGTCGCGTCGGCTGCTCGACAAATAACCCGCTAATGACGTTTCATTCCGCGCGTTTTCGCATGATCGTAAAACTTCCGCCACGACACGTTCGAGCGGACTGCTCGGTCTCGCCCCGGGGTCTGTGTCACCAGATAAAGATTGACTTCTTTCGCTCGCGAGATACGAGCCCGAGGAGAGCCGCGCTTCTCAGCGCTTCTCTGGCCGGCGAAATTCTCGGGATGGTTTTTAGCACGTGATTTGCGACACGTCAGTAATTTTTTTTCTCTTTAACGACCACAATACAAGTAATGTATTTTAATAAATTTATAGTATGTGACATGTGTGTGTGTGTGTGTGTGCACGCAGAGGAGAAGATTTTAGTTGTTTAATAGAGTGGAAAAGTTGGGAAAACAAGTCGGGAAGCATGTGATTCATTCGTCAGCCGACGCGATACTTTTCCTCGAAGATTTTTCCGGTTTCCACAGGATCGTTTTTTTTTTTCCTTTTTTTTTTCGTTTCTCTTTTTCTAGGTGTACGCGACCGCTATTAATAGGAGTATGAAGTAACACCCTCGCTTGACATACGTTTCCCGTCCACGCGCGTGTGATTCACGAACTTCCTCGGAAGCTCGCGAGTGCGATATGTCGATTAACATGCGTCGCAGTCGTCTAATAAAAAGAGAAGTCAATACACCGGAGTCAGCGGGGTGTTTGTCGTGACATAAATACCGCGGCGCGAACCGGTGCTCGTAGATTCCTTCGAATTGACCGCGCGAGCGACCGAGACGAAAGTTACGCGTAACTTTGTTGGTATGATTCACCGCGTCCACGCTCGTAGATTCACACATTTATCGCCACGGTGACACCTTGTTCACGCGGTGACACACGAAGGAATTCTGTTCCCCGCTCGAGAATCAACTTCTTGTCTCGACACGTTAATTAACTTTTTAGTTTATTATTCAGCACATTATTCAGCAAATGTTTCTCTTCCTCTGAATCTTTCATTTCCTTTTCGTATCTTCATATCAATTTTTATCGGGTTTTCTTATCGAGTTATACATATTGCGAATCGAAGAAAAATAACTCGTAAGTAAATTAATGAAAGGAAAACAAGTGCTCACAAGTAAAAAACGCGAGTCAACTCGCGATTAACCATTCGAACGGAGGTCTCCTTTATCCTCGAGGTAACGTGTTCGACGGCCGACCTGGTGAAACCGGAAACAGCTCGCGATCAAGCCGGCGGTTAGCCGATCGTTCGCACGGCCGGACAGGAAGCGTGTCTTGGGGAAACGCGAGGATCCGCGACGGGGAGAGATGCACCTGACGACGAGCGGCAGCAATTAGAGGAACAAAGAGCCGATCGCTCATTATTGCCGCCGCTCGATCGTCCTCCCCTCTCCCCTGGCCGTTGCAAACGCGGCATTACCAGTTTCCGTCCGTGTAATGGCTTCTGGGAAACGTCGGCGGCAGACATGATTTTCCCGAGTTAATAGACAATTACGTCGCGCGGGACGCTAAATGACAGTGCGCGTGCCGCGCCAGCTGCGGATACGCGTGGATGCGCGCTCTCGGATGCGGCTTTTCATTCAAGCGGAGTGCGCGCGGCCTTTCATAACCGCGCGTTTGCGTAACGCGCGGCGACGTGACGCGCGATAATGAACAATCGGCCGAATTTTTCATATCGCCTGTCTCTCGCCTCCTCTTGCCAGTCGCGTCCGCCGCGTCTCGTCCGGCGGGAGTTTCCTCGCGGCCGACCGCGGCGGCTCGTTGAAGCAGGACGAAGGGAAACTACGAGGACGTGAAGCTGTTACTTTGCGACGTCGAGGCGACGTTCATTGTTCCCCGCCCCGTCGACGGGACGTTTCTCCCGCTCGTTGCGGATTTCTCTGGTCTCGCGTCTGCTTTCCGAGCATCCTCTGCGTCCCGAGTTTCCGTTCTCGCGGGATCCTCCTTTCGACGACGAGTGCGCGCTTAGTAGCGGTTAATTAAGAAGCCGATAAATGAAACAACGACGATTCTGTTGTTTTGCGGTCGAGTTGCGACGTTATTGTTCCCCTCCCCCCTCCCCCCGATTCCCGCCGATAAGAGTGAGCAGCCGCGCGAGGTCGTTTCCCTCTTCGCTCGCGGTCGCGCAGACCCGTCGATCAAATTTATATTCCCAATTACTCATCCTCTTGCCAGAAAGCCCCGGCAACGTCACAGCGGCTCGACGTTATCGGACCCGCCGACGAGCGCGTCTGTTTCGCTCAGCTGGAGCAATATTTGCCGTCGCGCGCTCACTCGGCGGAGGCGCGTGGTGCGTTTCTTCGCGCGATGCTGAGTCACCGCGAGTCCCACATTTCGTCGCGCGCTCCGGGCTCTCCGGGCTCTCCGAAGGCCAGCTTTTTCTCGAGAAAGAGAAGAAAAGAAAAACGCGTCATTGGCATCGAACTCTCTCTCGTGATTGCTCGTGTAATTTCCCGGTCGTGCGATCGCCGATCGGCGAGAGAGAGAGAGAGAGAGAGAGAGAGAGAGGGAGAGAGAGAGAGAGAGAGTGCGAGCTAACGGGAACGCTTGGCGGCCTGCACCGCCGCTTCTGAAACGCTCATGAACGTTGACTTGGATATGCGTAGATCATTCACCGCGACCTCGCCGCCAGGAACGTCCTCGTGGACCACAATAAGCTGTGCAAGATCGCCGACTTCGGCATGTCGAGGTTCGCCAATGAGGACGGGGAGGTGATCGAGACCAGGCACGGCAGGAACGCCTTGCCCATCCGATGGATGGCCCCCGAGTCCTTGATCTACTCCCTTTTCACGACCAAGACAGACGTGTGGAGCTTCGGGATCCTCATGTGGGAGATCGTCACTTTAGGTAGGTGTCCTGGTCATTAACTCGTTAGCGAGAACAAATATTGACCGATTTTTTTTTCTCGCGATTCGTACCGGCTGAAAATGAGGCGACACGTGTGTCAACTTGTTTAATCAACAGCGTGGAAATAGCGGGTGAGCGGGTGCCAAAAATAACACAGTGGACAATCATTATCTCGACGATGTGTCGTCTTCGCGTGAACGTCAGCCGCGACTTTGATGAGTTTCCGTGTATCGTCAAATTCGCCAAGGGACTATCTTTGTTGGGAAATACAACTTCACTGCATCGCAGTTGTTTTTTTATTTTGCTAATTTGTACAGTGATATACGGCAAGAATTTTATTGCAAACATTGCCGTAGAGTTCTCTATCCAGCCGAAGAACATATCGAGATGTTTCGTCTCTGAAATTTTTACTCTTCTCTCTCATACGTGTCTTTTCGACTGCGATCTCGCTCCAAAAGATTTACAGACTACAAAATTGATATTCCTCGGAAGAAAATCCTCCTTCCCCGTGCGGGATATTCTCTCCGTGTAACCGTACGTTGAAATGGCGCGATTGAATCGCTGTATAACCGCGCGGCTGCCCGGCGCGGCGGCCTCTCGCCAGCTTCGTTCCGCCGCCGCCTCGATAAGGAAAAGAAATATAAATGAAAAAGAAAATACGAGATGCAGAGTCGCTCGAAGAGAGAAGACCCGGCCGTTTTGTAGCTCGTTGGGGCGCCGTTACGTCGCCATTACGACGAGTCGATACGCGCGCGGTAGCCGCATTCGCGCCGACACGCCGACCCGTCGTAGTAATAATTTCGCGCACCACCTTGCGCTGCTTCAGGCTCGACACCGTACCCGGATATGACGGCGCGGGAAGTCATGCGGAACGTGCACAACGGTTATCGGCTGGAGAGGCCTTCGCACTGCCGAAGCGAGCTCTTCAGGGTGATATCGCGCTGTTGGCACGCTGATCCCGACCGCAGGCCGGAATTCCAGACCCTACGCAGGGATCTCGCTCAGCTGCTGGAGGACAACATGAATGGGCACTATGTGGACCTCGAGAGCTTCGCTTCCGAGTGCACCGATTGAGGCGATCGCACCCTCCCCCTCTTCCCATCATCCCTCCCCCCATCGTCGGGGGACGGAAAGGCACGTCGTTGGATCCTCGCCGACCGCATCGCCCCGACCGCCGTGGGAAATCGATTTCGCGCGGGAGACGCCGCGCTGACGCGCGATTGATGATTGCGCCGTGCGAGATAGATGGATGGATGGACAGACGACGTGCGTCTTTCTTCCTCTCTCTCTCTCTCTCTCTTTCTCTCTCTCTCTCTCTCTCTCTCTCTCTCTCTCTCTCTTTCTCTCTCTCTCTCTCTCTCTCTTTTTTTGCTCAAGGAAGAGAGAAAGAGAAAGAAAGAGGGAGACGTTGCCGCGGTAGCTCGATCCCCGCGAAAGCGAGTTCGGAAGCTCTGCTCTTCTGCGGGGAGAAGCACGATGCCGAGATCGCCGCAGGAGAAGTCGAGGGAGATTTGAGAATCCGCTTTCTTTTTTCCCTTTCATGTTCACGCGGGTGGTGCTCTCGAGCTCGTCGAAGCTCTTATCACGAGACGCTGGACTCTTATCACTGGCGACTGTTGCGCGCGCGTGCACGCAACGAGAATGGAAGCATACGCTTGAGAATGGAAGCAGGGATGTTAATTGATCGGCAGTTTCTTTTTGTTTTTGGAGACGAAGGAGGAATGTCGTCACGAACCGACGATCTCTCGCCGATTCGCTCGCGGTAATCTGAAGGGTCGTTAATTAGCTGTTATCGAAGTTACGCTCGGTAATACTGAGACGAATCGATCGTACAAGTAAGTCTTCAGCGCCGGTGAGCCTCCACGATTCGTCGAGACGCGGGTGCGTTAATTGCGCGCGCTTCCTCCTGCGAAAGACGCAGACGGCACGTAGAAATGCGGTTTGTAACGCGCGTGACGCCGTAATAAACGACGATGAAGTAAGGAACACAGAGAGTACCTATAACGGAGATGAGAAGACGCAACGGGAGTTTGCAAACACCCCGAGGTACAATTATTTTTTTATCATTTCATCACTTCGTTATTGCATTCCGATTGTTTCGTAAAATTAGATCGCAGGCGTAAATTTTATGATTTAATCCAATTAAACTGAATAAATTAATTAAATTAATTAATCTAATTACAAAAAAAAACAATTAGAGTGCAATTGACGTGATAACATTAATAACAAATATAAAAACGTCACTTTTTAACAAAACATAAATACAAAACAAATAAATTGGCTTAATTTAGTGGCATATGTTTAATCTATTGATTTATTTCTGAGACAAAAACAGTGAATCGACGTTGATTTGACGCACTCGCGTTTACGCATCGTGGAAGCTCGTCGTTGCGTAACAGTCGACGCGAGTAAAGGTTGATTCCCATTATAGATCTAGACAGATTGGCAGACAGGAATTCATCACTCTTCCGTCAAGACTTTTCTTCACGTTCTGTGATTGGGATGAATGAGATGTGTGAACGGTGACGAATACTGTGAATAGACTCGAATAGACTGGACGATTAGTGAGAATCAGACTTTATCCACGAATCGAGAAAAAAGGTTGCGAGACCGCAGCGAACGGTCATGCATTTTCAACAGTTCCGTCCGAGATCTGTCTTTCGCTTTCGGTACTTATTTATTACCCCGAAGCGCGATTACGCACGCTTCGGGAAATACAGGAAGTGGAGAATTACATATTACGGAGGAAGAGTAACAGTCCGAAGACACAACGGGACTCGATTCCGCGTCGAGACATATCTGTACATATTGTATCCCTCGCGCTATACATAACTGTAGATGTATGCAGGACAGAAATGCGAAACGCACTTTATATCCGCCGGAAATCAAAGGAAGAAGCAAGTGTCCTCACACGTACACGTATACACACATACACGCACACGCAGACACACAAGCAGACAGACGTACAATTTCTGTTAACGTACCGTTAATAATCTTATCATCGCTACAATTAATTAATTAATTGCTCGTTAGGTGTACGTGCATCCATGTTTCCAATCGCGTCCGCCGCGTTTATATTCTTAATCATTCTAGTCTTTCGACGCGTTCTGGGGACGGCGATTGGCAATATATATACATATATCGTATGTAATCGCAAGCGCACGCCGTCTTTCAGCATCTCCCTCGCGCCGACGAACGCCACGAATCGTCCGAAGTTCGCTCGAATCCCGGCGACAACAGGTGCGTCGCGCGATCGCTCCGGAGAACGGATTATAGAAGCCCCCACCAGTTGATTATTTTATTAAGTATTTTTATCTCGCTGTCTCTCTTTCTCTCTTTCTCTCCGAGATGTCGTCGTTGGAAAAACTCCCGTCTACCGTTGTTGCTCGAGACGTCTCGTCGTTCTCGAAGTTCCGCTGCATTTTAAACGTACAGGAAAAATAAAGAAGAAGAAAGAAAGGGAGAAAGAGAGAGAGAGAGAGAGAGAGAGAGAGAGAGAGAGAGAGCTGTTACTTTCGCAGAAGATCGGCTGCGAGCAACATTGTATGTAGACTTGATTGTACTAAGAACTTTTGTCAGTAAACGTTGTGAGAAAACTTAAACGACCCCACCGTCTCGTTAATAAACCGAATGGGCGTCTCGACGCGCGTAATTGTAAAATGTAGAGGCAATAATGCATCGTAAAGTACGCGCCAAAGCGCGCGCGCGCGTCCACTTCGTCGAGGTCGACGAAAGTGCAATACAAATGTCGCGCACGTAACAATGCTCGTACCGCCGCGACTTCCTTCGCGCGCGCGCGCGCGCGCGCGAAACGTTTAAAATAGATAGCCTCGGGACCGCGAAAAATGGCGACGTGAATTATGGTGAAGTGGCCATCGCGTTGCGCACACGCGCATTAATTATCTCAGCGTAGAAACCTCCCCGATCGCGGCGCGCTGTAATAAAACGTAATCTCGTTCAATGACCTTTACCTACTCTCCGTGCCGCGGAGCGAAATCGTCGTCTTTTCATGTTCATGGCAGACGCAAACAACGAGGATTCTCGATGTTCAGACTTCTCTCGATTGAACGCCAACAAGATACCGATCGTCACATATCTGAAACTTTCTCTATCTCGGCGTAGAATTCAACAAAAGAAGACACCGCATAAGCGATCAGGTAATTTCTCGCAGGTTGGAATTATTGCTGTCGGATTAATCTTATTATCATCTCCGCACGATAATGCAAGGAATGTTGTTATTAACGCCGAAAGAAGACTTCGTAGCATTTTAATTGTAGAAAATAAGAACCTTGTCTTTGGATATGCAAATGTTTGTCTCATTTTGAAATAATCGATTACTCGTGTCCCAGCAACAATAACAACTTATCGATAGTCCTATCGATGGTCCTGGGGGACCTTAGTAACAGCCGTAGGGACGATAATACGAGAGTTCGAAGGTCATTTTTTCGCGATCGGATACCACGCTCGGGTCGCCGCAAGCCGGACGGAACAAAGGAAGTCTCTCTTGGGCCAGGGGATTTCCTCTCGAAGGCATATCGGACCGCCGCGCCGCCGCCGTCGCGCGGGCGAGGACGCTTCCTCCTCTTTCAATTAGAAGGCGGGCTTCGCGAGTCTGCCTTCGGTCCCCGTGATTTATGAAATCACATCCGCGAGACGCAGACTTGCCGCAGATTTACGGCAACGGGAATATGGATTTATGCGCGCGAACGCGCCGGACGAGATAAAGGCGCGGGGTATGCAAATACGTCCGGCGCGTTTTGTCAAAGTCCGCGGGCGAAAAGGAGGCGGACAGCGAGGGGAGATTTACAGGTGCCACCGGTGCGGCGCTGGGGAGAAGAGATCAAGGCCGAAAGAATCGGATTCTACGGCGTGCCCGGCACGGGGGACGCGGATATCGATCTGGCCGTCGCTGCATCACAACGCGAAGGCGCGAGAACTGGACGGCTCAATGGAATTAATTAAGACCTCCTGTCGCCGTGACGATTCGATTACGGGCGGCGCGGACGCGACGTGACGATGAAGCGGCGCTTCGGGGCAAACAGAGTCGGAGTATCTTTCTGAAAGAAGATCGCCTGGGGAGAAAAGTTATTTTTTAAGAATATATTTCTAGACCGAGAGAGAAATGACGACATCTCGATCGTGGACTCAATTAAATGCCTCAAATTTCAGCAAGACGAAATCTCCTCTATTTTACTATATTCTATTTACAATCGTTGTGCTTAAAGATCTTTCTCTTCTTTCATTTTTCTTTTTGCATTTTGTTTCATTTATTGTCATGTATTATGATTATTTTTTAAAAATAAAATTACAGGCCGGAAGATTCAATATCGTAGACTTAATTATTAAAATAATTTAAGATACTAAGGAATTAAAATTGAAATATTAAAAATTATGCAGAAGTAATAAAATACTAAGATATTCAAATATCTAAAAAATTATTAAAATACTTAAAAATTTTCATAAAACAAAGCCTCTTCTATTTTACTTTATTTTGTTCTGGATCGTTATGATGATGAAAATCTTTCTTCTTCTTTCCTTGCACTTTATTTCATTTATAATATATTGCGCCCAAGGATTATCTTCCCATTTAAACGAGTGAATAAAAGAATAAAATTAGTTTCATTAAAATCGATTTAACTTCAAAGGCGCTACTCCCGAAGTTCTCGGCGCGCTTTTCATTCGCATGCACAAACAAACTCTGCACAATCGTGGATTCTGCAAAGCGTGGCGGTGTAACGATCCTTCTGCTCGGTAACAACGATGACCTTCGCGCTTGAATTCGCGTCTCGGGCTTGGAAATATCACTTCGTTCTCGTATCAGGGTCCATAGAGCATCGGCGGCGACCGCCCTTCGCGGTTGCTCTCTCTCTTCGAGAACTCGCCGTGCGCAACGAGAGCATGCGTGCGTGCGTGTGCGTCCGTTGCCGCGGATCGTTATCGTAAATTGGATCGCATTCCTGAAATCTCGAAATAACCGTAAAACATCCCGGGCTCGTTTATGGCTGTCGAGCGGATCCTCCGGCGCGCGCGACGAAGACGAGACGGAGGGACGCTGGCCGATTATCCCGCGAACACGCGACCGCGACATCGAAGTCCGGACGAACCGCTGCTTGCTCAAGAGGTACGTATGCTTCTCACGTGCTCGGCTTCCCCTCGCGCCTCGGTAGTGGCATTCGATCAACGCGACTTGAAAGCTTGCGAAGAGACCGCGAGGCATTAGCGAATAAGAGTCCTTCCTCGCCTGAGAAATTCGCTTCTCTTCATCTCTTTCTCTTCTGAGAACGAGATAATGAGCTGTCGCTGTCTGGCTAATCGATTATCCGGATTACTGATAAATTTGACGTTTTATCGAACCCGAAGCCAGCTGCAGCTCCGAATCTGTTAGAAATTCATAGATCTATCATAGAAATTCATAGAATCAATAGAATCTACCAGACAGACACGCCCTGCTCGATCCTGCTCGAGAAATGGACGATCAATAAATCGATATTCCTTTTACCAGCAATCCGACAGCTTCGATTTTGAATCCGAATCTCTGGATCTCTGGATTTCTCGGAACTTGAGTGCGGACAATTCGGATTACTCGAGCGTGCGTTTTCTGTGAGTCTTCGGATCGAGAAGTAGATCTCGGATAGTTCGATGTCCGAACTACCCGAGACTTGAGAGCCCTGGCAGAAGGATACGCCAGGAGAGATTCGATAATGTAAGTCGCATGCATGACCGCGCTTTCTTGGCGCAATATCAAGAGGAGGATAAAGAGGAGGAGGAGGAGGACAGATATTAGAGAGAACCTCATTGACCTTTCCAGATGATACGCGTCACACACATTTCCACAATTAGCGCGTCCGAGTGGAGAAACTAATCGCTCCTTCATCGTATATTCGAAAGTTCAATTAGACGAGGCTCGAGCCGAAGAGATGCTGAGCGAACGCTCGATCGATCGATCGATCGATTCTGTGGCGATAACCGTGTATTACGGATAATATAAGGCCATCGTCTCTCATCCTTTGCATACCGCGTCGGTTGATGATGTCAAATAAAGACCGGACGGTCGCGTTAATCTCGCGACATAATGACGACTCATCGGCGAAGAAGATGAGGTGAGAGTCCCATCAAGGCGGGATAATTGCAGCGAAAGCGTTTTATCTCTTTGTATTTTTTCCGGTTATTCCCCTTTCACTGTGTTTATTATTTCATGTTTCTCGCACGTGGGCTCCTCGCGCGCCATTTTCTTTTTTTTCGTCCTCGAAACGCCGCGCCGTGTCCAGGTTACGCCGGGAGCTCTCGCTCCTTTTGTTCCGTCTTCGATTGTGGAATTTTCATGGAATCGCAATTTGCGATTTCGCGAAGGTCACGCAGACACGCGCGCTTTCGCACGCGATAACGGTAAGAAAAAGAAAGAAAATAAACCGCCAGCTATCTTTAGCGGAAGACTTTCGCCGCAGGACCCGCCGAGATCGCCTGGCGACAGCGGCGACGATCCTCGCGACGTTCGGCGCGGGGCTCCTTTCTAATCTGTCAGCAGCGTCCTCGGGATTGATGCGCGATCGAAGGAAGACCCGCGAACGACCCGCGTTCCACTTTCATTCATAATGGCTTCGCCACCCGGCGTTCTTCACCTCCTCAGAGGTCGCTCGTTATCGTCATCCTTCACAGATCGAATGTCACGAAAGCCGCACGCGGCTTTTCGCACGGGAAGTCATAGTTTCCTTCCTTTTCCCCGTCCCCCTCCTCTCGCAGGTATTCAGCATGCTGGACTATTTGGAACGCGAAAATATGGGAGAGATCAGGCCAGACTGGAAAATACTTGACGATACCTGTCCGCTCCACTTAACCCTTTAACGCCTACTGGTAACTAGAGATGTGCGAACTATTCGAATTCGAATCGAATCGAATCGAATCTAATGTAATTCGATTCGATTCGAATCTGAATCCCTATGATTCGAATCCGAAAATTTCGAGTCGAAGATTCAATTATGAATCAAATATATTAGCGTGCATTATATTTGCATGCATCAAGTACAAAATGAGACATCTGGGCCTGTATGTTTGAACCCTTAACTTGTAATTAACTTAACTTGTAATTAATAACTTAATTATAAATTACTTTAAATATTTAAATATATATTTTACTTTAAGATGATATTACAATATCAATATCCCCTTTCATATTAAAACCTTCCGTCATTATGTGCATGTTTAATAGTCATGTTAAATTTTTTAATGATTCGATTCTATTCGAATTCGAATGAAATTTCATAGATTCGATTCGATTCGAATTCGAATTAAAAAAATGAGATTCGATTCGATTCGATTCGACATAAAAATTCTTGATTCGCACATCTCTACTGGTAACTATAGTTACCAGAAACGTATTTAAGAATCCATAATTTAGTGAAAAAAGGAGATATTTTGTTTTCTTTGCACCACTGTAAAGGTGAATTCTTCTTCTAAAAAAATGGTATATAGATTGTATGTAGATTCGGTTTAGTCTGTTTTTAGCTCAGTCTTAATGATAACATGTTTTGTCAAATTTCAAGTAGGCATAATTAGCATTGTTACTGACATCTAAAAGTGCACTACAAATGAATAAAATAGTGTTACAACAAGCACATGCCTATTAAGGAAAACAGTAAAAGACGTCAATTGTGCAGCTCGAAAGGGAAGCAAAGCAGGACAAAACTAATTTGCAAAACCTGTAAAACTCCCCTCTGCATCTCTCGATGTTTTATGCAATTCCATTCCGGGTAAGTAAAGATCAAGTTTCTGAATATGAGTTTTATGTTTCGAGCAGAAGTCTCCTGCAGATATCTCTCTGCCTTTGCAACCGAGTTTTCGTCTCTCGCTCTCAGGCGACTGAAAATTCATTTGCACTGACCGAGTTGAGCGAAATCGCGAAATTACATTTTCCATTTTTACGTTTCGAAGTCGCGAGTTTCTGCAAACTTTCGGAACAGAGAGGGGAGAAGACCTCCTCTGCATCTGTCTTCGCCGGCGATCGGCGGGGAGCATCGAGGAATTTTCATTCCACTTCCGACCGCGCATCCTCTAATCGGCGCGATTTTACGAACGGAGCGAAGAGACGCGACCCACATTTTCTGACCGGCGGCGTTTCACCTGTCCGCGATTCGGCCGCGAAACCGGAAAAGGAAGAACCAGACGACGCACGTCCTCCGGCCACGACGGATCCTCCCGAAGCGGCGAATAAAAATGAGAGTATAAACCTGTTTCCCGGCCGGAATCGAAACGACACGACTTTACGCGAGAGCAGTTTAGAGAATCACTTGCTCCGCCGTGAAAACCGGACGTGGTATTACGTTTCGGGGAAAGAGAAAGGAAGGCCGGTGAATCACGTCGCTTTTGCGCGCGAATGCTCAGCTTTGAAATCTTAAAGATGTATTTTTCCCCGCACGGGAAGATCACACCGGATGAAGTTCGAGCGGAGACTACGCTCTTCCCACGCTCGGCTCGCCGAATTTATATGTTCTCACGCTTTAGAGCGCTTATCCCGCCGATTCGCAGGTGGTAACGGCGCTGGCTCGCGTAATCCGCGACTTAATGCCGATTTACGGATCGGCGGAAGCTTCGCTGCAGCCGCGCGCGCATCGATCATTCCGTCCGATCTCGCCTTATAGAGTGACGAGAGGCGCCGACAAAGGCGCTTGTGAAGGATGAAACCGTGGAGAGCCCGATTGTCGCCGAATAGCATTGTGACATACATGACAGAGGAATTTCTTTTTTTTAGTTAATCTGCAAGATCAATAACGGATATTTCGTCACGCTCAGACCGGTATTCTCGCAGTCCGCCGGCGTTTGACAAACAATCATGGCTTAATAAAGCTCTGACAATTCGTCCGGCTGTACTCGTTTTATTTTCGCTGATGACTTCAACGCTCGGCTCAAGCTTGGATCATCGGATATAATTAATGCAACTCGTAACGCGTATATTCGCTAAATCACTGGCTGCACGTTTAATCCGTCACGCGTAATTGGTTATGTTTGATACGCAAGGAGAAGTGAATGAGTATCTCCGTTACCGTGAGCGAAAATATCCGTCTGAACATTCCGCTGTGTTAAAATTCAGCCGAGATGGAAACTGAAAACAATTGTGTAATTAAAAGTTATCTCAGGAATCTCTTCGCTCCTACAACTGACTCTCTAATGTTTCCGAGCAAGTTCCCCGGGAAATTCAGCTACACTAACAAAATGGTTTCCTCCGCGTAAACGAACGAGACGCGGCAAAATATCATAACGCTATCAACATGTTAATTGTATTCTAGATCAAAGATTGCAAATTACACGTAACTGTAATCACCGGTCTTTGTTAGTTACGTGTATTGCGGAATGTCGCTCGCTTGGAGAACGCTTCGCCGTGCTAGATGAGTCTCAAGCCGCTCCTCTTCGCGCGAGCCTCGCGGATTCCAGCGTTACACTTTTGCGCGATCAATCCGACTCCCTTGAGAGCGTGACGATTCGATCTAGTTGGTCATAACGCGATTTCAAATCCACATCGCGCACACCTTCGAGAGGCCGTTTTCTCTTTTTCTTTCGCGTAACGAATGTCGCTTATTCCGTAACACTCATCCTCTCCCGAAAGTGGGTCGACGGTAATTCTTGATATTGGCTCCGCGCGCGTCCCCATCAACGGAAACAACAATCTGGCAACGTGCGTGTCAAACATAGACATAGTATGAATAGACGAAGCCTGACGTCACTAGGGCTAACGCCAGAGAATAATGGGAATGAGATAGTACATGGAAGTGTACACCATTCTCTTTGTCTCTTCGCGCATGCGCAATACTACACTTATTCTTATAGAATGTATATAATGTGATGTATTTCCTCTTCTGACATATTGGCTCCTGCACACTGGACGCGGCAATGCTTGTCGTGCGGCGGAAATAGACGCGATTTTAAGTTAAATTGTAAAATGAAAAAGTAAACTGCAAATAATGGCTGGGGGGAAGACCTAGGGGAAGCCCGCCTCCGAGCGGAGGCGGCACTAGCATCGATGGTGGGCACCATCAGGGACCTGGGTCTCAAAGTGGGCGTCACACAAGACTGAGGCTGTGTTTTTTCACGACGGCAGTCGTGGGGCGCCGCCGGAAACCCAGGTCCTGGTGGATGGAGTCCGCATCCACGTCGAGCCCACGATCAAATATCTGGGCCTGACGTTGGACAGCCGATGGGACCTCGGGGTTCATTTTAAAGAGGTGGCCCCCCGGGTGCGCAGGGCAGGCCTGAAGGTGACCAGTCTGATGTGCGCCCAAGGGGGGCCCAAGCTGGAGGGCTCGCCCCCTATACGTGGGTGCGGTGCTCTCGATGGTCCTTTATGGGGCACCCATCTGGGCGCCCCAACTCATGGCCACCAGCCGTAACAAGGGCCTGATGCGTCAGGCGCTGCGACCAGTGGTCGTGCGGGCCATTCGAGGGTTCCGCACCGTTTCGTATATGGCGGCGACCACCCTGGCCGGCTTCCCTCCTGTGGAACTTCTCGCAGAAGAGTGACGCATTCTCTTTTGGAGAGTGCGGAAGCTCCGCGAGGAGGGGAGCTAACGGCCAGGGGATTGAAGGCTCTGAAGTCCCAGGCCAGAGCCTGGCTCCTGGGGAAGTGGTCGGACATGTTGTCCGATCCCCGGGAGTTCGGGCTCCGAACGGCCGAGGCTGTCCGCCCCTGCCTACCTGAGATGGTAGGCAGGGTGGGATGTGGACTCACCTTCCATCTGGTGCAGGTGTTGACCGGGCATAGAGGCTTCAGTCGGTACCTGCACCGGATCAGTAAGGAATCCATCACCCGATGCCACCACTGCCCGGAGCTGGAGAACACGGTGGAGAACACACTGACAGAGTGTCAGCCGTGGGCTCTGCAACGACATGTCCTCGCCCGGGCGGTGGGGTGCAGAGAAAGGGAGCACTCACTACCACGAATGGTCAAGGCCATGTGCGGGAGCGAGGAGACTTGGGTGGCGGCGGCCTCCTTCTGCGAGGACGTGATGTTATTATGCTTTCCTAATATCAAAACTCAAAAACTAGGAAAACTGAGTTTCTCCGATTTTTCGGTTTGTATCAGGAGAATATAATGAGTGAGGAAGTCGCTCGATTTCATCCGTATACCCATTCGGTTATTATGCTCCCCTAATAACAAAACTCAAAAACTCGGAAAACTCAGATTTCTGCGATTTCTCGATCTTGTATCAGGAGAATATAATGAGTGAGGAAGTCGCTCGATTTCATCCGCATACCTCTTCGGTTATTATACTTCCCTAATACCAAAACTCAAAAACTCGGTAAACTGAGATTTCTCCAATTTCTCGATTTTCTAACAGGAGAATATAATGAGTGAGGAAGTCGTTCGAATATCTCTTTGGTTATTATGTTTCCCTAACACTAAAACTCAAAAATGGGGAAAATTGAAATTCTCCAATTTCTCGATTTTCTAACAGGAGAATATAATGAGTGAGGAAGTCGTTCGAATACCTCTTCAGTTAATATGCTTTCCTAATAACAAAACTCGAAAATGCGGAAAACTGAAATTCTCCAATTTCTCGATTTTGTAACAGGAGAATATAATGAGTGAGAAAGTCGTTCGAATACCTCTTCGGTTATTATGCTTCCTTATTACCAAAACTCGAAAATGCGGAAAACTGAAATTCTCCAATTTCACGATTTTCTAACAGGAGAATATAATGAGTGAGGAAGTCGCTCGAATACCTCTTTGGTTATTATGTTTCCCTAATACTAAAACTCAAAAATGTGGAAAACTGAAATTCTCCAATTTCTCGATTTTCTAACAGGAGAATATAATGAGTGAGGAAGTCGTTCGAATACCTCTTTGGTTATTATGTTTCCCTAATACTAAAACTCAAAAATGCGGAAAATTGAAATTCTCCAATTTCTCGATTTTGTAACAGGAGAATATAATGAGTGAGGAAGTCGTTCGAATATCTCTTCGGTTATTATGCTTCCTTATTACCAAAACTCGAAAATGCGGAAAACTGAAATTCTCCAATTTCTCGATTTTCTAACAGGAGAATATAATGAGTGAGGAAGTCGCTCGAATACCTCTTTGGTTATTATGTTTCCCTAATACTAAAACTCAAAAATGCGGAAAATTGAAATTCTCCAATTTCTCGATTTTGTAACAGGAGAATATAATGAGTGAGGAAGTCGTTCGAATACCTCTTCGGTTATTATGTTTCCTTATTACCAAACTCGAAAATGCGGAAAACTGAAATTTTCCAATTTCTCGATTTTCTAACAGGAGAATATAATGAGTGAGGAAGTCGTTCGAATACCTCTTCAGTTAATATGCTTTCCTAATAACAAAACTCGAAAATGCGGAAAACTGAAATTCTCCAATTTCTCGATTTTCTAACAGGAGAATATAATGGGTGAGGAAGTCGTTCGACTACCTCTTTGGTTATTATGCTTCCTTATTACCAAAACTCGAAAATGCGGAAAATTGAAATTCTCCAATTTCTCGATTTTGTAACAGGAGAATATAATGAGTGAGGAAGTCGTTCGAATACCTCTTCGGTTATTATGTTTCCTTATTACCAAACTCGAAAATGCGGAAAACTGAAATTTTCCAATTTCTCGATTTTCTAACAGGAGAATATAATGAGTGAGGAAGTCGTTCGAATACCTCTTCAGTTAATATGCTTTCCTAATAACAAAACTCGAAAATGCGGAAAACTGAAATTCTCCAATTTCTCAATTTTCTAACAGGAGAATATAATGAGTGAGGAAGTCGCTCGAATACCTCTTCAGTTAATATGCTTTCCTAATAACAAAACTCGAAAATGCGGAAAACTGAAATTCTCCAATTTCTCGATTTTGTAACAGGAGAATATAATGAGTGAGGAAGTCGTTCGAATAACTCTTCGGTTATTATGCATCGCTAATACCAAAATTCGAAAATGCGAAAAACTGAGATTTTCCAATTTCTCGATTTTCTAACAGGAGAATATAATGAGTGAGGAAGACGTTCGATTACCTCTTCGGTTATTATGCTTTCCTAATACCAAAACTCGAATATGCGGAAAACGGTAATTCTTCAACTTCTCGATTTTGTAACAGGAGAATATAATGAGTGAGGAAGTCGTTCGAATACCTCTTCGGTTATTATGCTTCCTTATTACCAAAACTCGAAAATGCGGAAAACTGAAATTCTCCAATTTCTCGATTTTCTAACAGGAGAATATAATGAGTGAGGAAGTAGCTCGAATACCTCTTCGGTTATTATGCTTCCCTAATACGAGAACCCAAAATTGCGGAAAACTGAGATTCCTCAATTTCTTGATTTTGCATCAGGAGAATATAATGAGTGAGGAAGCCGCTCGAATTCATCCGGATACCTCTTTGGTTATTATGCTTCCCTAATATCAAAACTCAAAAACTCGGAAAACTGAGATATCTCCGATTTCTCGATCTTGTATCAGGAGAATATAATGAGTGAGGAAGTCGCTCGATTTCAATCGGATACCTTTTCGGTTATTATACTTTCCTAATACCAAAACTCAAAAACTCGGAAAATTGAGATTTCTCCGATTTCTCGATTTTATATCAGGAGAATATAATGAGTGAGGAAGTCGCTCGATTCATCTGGATACTTCTTCGGTTATTATACTTCCCTAATACCAAAACTCAAAAACTCGGTAAACTGAGATTTCTCCAATTTCTCGATTTTCTAACAGGAGAATATAATGAGTGAGGAAGTCGTTCGAATACCTCTTCGGTTATTATGCTTTCCTAATACCAAAACTCGAAAATGCGGGACACTGAAATTCTCCAATTTCTCGATTTTCTAACAGGAGAATATAATGAGTGAGGAAGTCGCTCGAATACCTCTTTGGTTATTATGTTTCCCTAATACTAAAACTAAAAAATGCGGAAAACTGAAATTCTCCAATTTCTCGATTTTGTAACAGGAGAATATAATGAGTGAGGAAGTCGTTCGAATACCTCTTCGGTTATTATGCTTCCTTATTACCAAAACTCGAAAATGCGGAAAATTGAAATTCTCCAATTTCTCGATTTTGTAACAGGAGAATATAATGAGTGAGGATGTCGTTCGAATACCTCTTCGGTTATTATGCTTCCTTATTACCAAAACTCGAAAATGCGGAAAACTGAAATTCTCCAATTTCTCGATTTTGTAACAGGAGAATATAATGAGTGAGGAAGTCGTTCGAATACCTCTTCGATTATTATGCTTCCTTATTACCAAAACTCGAAAATGCGGAAAACTGAAATTCTCCAATTTCTCGATTTTCTAACAGGAGAATATAATGAGTGAGGAAGTCGTTCGAATACCTCTTTGGTTATTATGTTTCCCTAATACTAAAACTCAAAAATGCGGAAAATTGAAATTCTCCAATTTCTCGATTTTGTAACAGGAGAATATAATGAGCGAGGAAGTCGTTCGAATATCTCTTCGGTTATTATGCTTCCTTATTACCAAAACTCGAAAATGCGGAAAACTGAAATTCTCCAATTTCTCGATTTTCTAACAGGAGAATATAATGAGTGAGGAAGTCGCTCGAACACCTCTTTGGTTATTATGTTTCCCTAATACTAAAACTCAAAAATGCGGAAAATTGAAATTCTCCAATTTCTCGATTTTCTAACAGGAGAATATAATGAGTGAAGAAGTCGTTCGAATACCTCTTCAGTTAATATGCTTTCCTAATAACAAAACTCGAAAATGCGGAAAACTGAAATTCTCCAATTTCTCGATTTTGTAACAGGAGAATATAATGAGTGAGGAAGTCGCTCGAATACCTCTTTGGTTATTATGTTTCCCTAATACTAAAACTCAAAAATGCGGAAAACTGAAATTCTCCAATTTCTTGATTTTGTAACAGGAGAATATAATGAGTGAGGAAGTCGTTCGAATACCTCTTCGGTTACTATGCTTCCTTATTACCAAAACTTGAAAATGCGGAAAACTGAAATTTTCCAATTTCTCGATTTTCTAACAGGAGAATATAATGAGTGAGGAAGTCGTTCGTATACCTCTTTGGTTATTATGTTTCCCTAATACTAAAACTCAAAAATGCGGAAAATTGAAATTCTCCAGTTTCTCGATTTTGTAACAGGAGAATATAATGAGTGAGGAAGTCGTTCAAATACTTCTTCGGTTATTATGCTTCCTTATTACCAAAACTCGAAAATGCGGAAAACTGAAATTCTCCAATTTCTCGATTTTCTAACAGGAGAATATGAGTGAGGAAGTCGTTCGAATATCTCTTTGGTTATTATGTTTCCCTAATATTAAAACTCAAAAATGCGGAAAATTGAAATTCTCCAATTTCTCGACTTTGTAACAGGAGAATATAATGAGTGAGGAAGTCGTTCGAATACCTCTTCAGTTAATATGCTTTCCTAATAACAAAACTCGAAAATGCGGAAAACTGAAATTCTCCAATTTCTCGATTTTCTAACAGGAGTATATAATGAGTGAGGAAGTCGTTCGAATACCTCTTCGGTTATTATGCTTCCTTATTACCAAAACTCGAAAATGCGGAAAACTGAAATTTTCCAATTTCTCGATTTTCTAACAGGAGAATATAATGAGTGAGGAAGTCGTTCGAATACCTCTTTGGTTATTATGTTTCCCTAATACTAAAACTCAAAAATGCGGAAAATTGAAATTCTCCAATTTCTCGATTTTGTAACAGGAGAATATAATGAGTGAGGAAGTCGTTCGAATACCTCTTCGGTTATTATGCTCCCTTATTACCAAAACTCGAAAATGCGGAAAACTGAAATTCTCCAATTTCTCGATTTTGTAACAGGAGAATATAATGAGTGAGGAAGTCGTTCGAATACCTCTTCAGTTAATATGCTTTCCTAATAACAAAACTCGAAAATGCGGAAAACTGAAATTCTCCAATTTCTCGATTTTGTAACAGGAGAATATAATGAGTGAGAAAGTCGTTCGAATACCTCTTCGATTATTATGCTTCCTTATTACCAAAACTCGAAAATGCGGAAAACTGAAATTCTCCAATTTCACGATTTTCTAACAGGAGAATATAATGAGTGAGGAAGTCGCTCGAATACCTCTTTGGTTATT